TCCACCTTTTATCTGGAGTCTTAGCTTCTTTTCTGGTATTCTCTGTTAAATCATCGGATTATTAGCTCTTCGTTGTCGAAACTTCTTGATGGAAGAGATTTCTTTTATCCCTTGATCTGGCAAGTCGTCGTTGTGGCTATGAGTGACCTCACCGGATTGTCTCCTCTCGAAGGCGGCAAGTATTTGTTGTGGTTGAAAATTTTCTTCATGCACATCCTCCATAATAAGCTTTTACCCCTTTGCAGATTTCTCGGAGGTGGTATTGTGTCATTTTATGTCGATCAAAATTTCAACAGATGTATGGTTATAGATAAAATGTCAGTTGAATTTTATAGTTTTGGTGGTAGGTATTTGGACGGATTTTTGGTGGAGATAGGAATGTTGAATTTGGAAAAATTAAGATCGAGGCTAGAAATCGTGGAAAGAATGATTTGGGTATAGTGGATTTTTTTTTTTTTGAATTTTCGATTGAGACGAAAGAGACAAAGCTTTAATAAATATAGGGATTGTCGGGCTCTGATATCAGAAGATAATCTAAGGCTTTTAGAAGGTGTTCAGGAAATGGGTTTTTCAGGAAGATGGTTGTGGAATAGCAAATGGATTATAATATGAGCAGTTGATTGTGTTTGGATGGGGATAGACAAAGTTCGGCGGTTGTCCCGGCTGAAAAAAATTAAAAAAACTCTGAAATGATGATGTAGGGACACCAAGGAGGTTCTACCATTGCTCATGAGTAAAAAACAGATACACCAATTAGATACATCAATTGCAAAAGGAAATGTTACAACACTCTGAAGTACATAAAACACGGAAGAAATCTCAAAAAACTATCACAATAGCAAAAGCCTATTAAAATTCATAACTCAAAGCTAAAAATTCCAAACAATCCTAATACAACATATATAAAGTCCCCTAATAGAAAATAACCTAATTTGAAAATAAATAAAAAAAGAACCAAAAAAAAAAGAAATTATTTAAAATTCAAGTGAGGTTCAATAGAACTGCTTATATTCCTTTAAAAATTTCTCGCTGATAGTGAAATTTAACAAACTATTGACAATCAAAGCCCAAAATGATGCATTTGCAAATTTTTTCGCTGATAGTAAATAAAAGCCCTAAATTCCTTGATTTTATTATTTAAAAAAGCGCATTTACATACATAACACCCAATTTCTATGTATTTGCATATCTAACAACTAAATTCACCATATACATTTATACCTTATCATACTGTATTTATTATATCTAAACTGTATTTGCACATCTAACATAACTATATACTATATGCATTATATCAAAATTAAATTAGAGAAGAAAATTAAAACTGCCTAAATTTAATTGAGAAAAGTATAATATAAGAAAGTAAATTTTATTTTATCGTACTCACTGTAAAAGGAGGATTGACCAAATATTTTCCTACTTCTGTTGGATTACATCAGGGATCGGCTTTAAGCCCATATCTTTTTGCTTTAGTTATGGATGGTCTTACCGGACATCTACATGAGGATGTACCTTGATGTATGCTTTTTGCTGATTATATCCTTCTCGTGGATAAAATGAGAGAAAAAGCCCAGGAAAAACTTGAATTATGGAGGTTTGCATTGGATTCTAAATTCCTTCATTTAAGTAGAACTAAAACTGAATACATGGAATGTAATTTTAGTAGTAATAGCTCTAGTGACATAAGTGTGACTTTGGGTGATCAAATTATTAAAAGGCGTGAACGATTTAGATATCTTGGGTCCGTTGTTCAAAGCGATGGTGATATAGATGGGGATGTTAATAGTAGAATTCAAGTTGGTTGGTAGAAGTGGAGGAATGCTTCGAGCCTTTTGTGTGTAGAAAAGTACCGCTTAGACTGAAAGGAAAAATTTATAAGACGGTGGAGAGACCTGCAATGCTCTATGGCGTTGAATGTTGGCCTTTAAAAGAGAAGCATAATAATAAGTTAAGTGTTGCCGAGATGAGAATGATTAGGTGGACGAGTGGCTTTACACTCAGAGACAAAATGCTAAATGAATATATCCGTGATAGGGTTGGTGTAGCTCCTGTGACGGACAAAATTAGAGGGAGTTGTCTTAAGATGGTTTGGTCACATTAAACATCAACCATCCGATGATCTGATTAGGAGTAGATGTTTTAGATTCTACTTGTGTTAAGAAAGGCAGAGGCAGACCAAGGAAGACTTGGGCTTGTTGTATTAAAAATGATCTTAATTTATTAGAACTAAATGAAAATATGACACAAAATAGGACGCAATGGAGAAAAAGGATTCATGTTGCCGATCCCACGTAGTCGGATTAAGGCTTTGTTGTTGTTGTTTTGATATATTTTGTATTTGGGCAAATGATATCTTTTGTGATCTTCTAGAGACAGAGTAGGATTAAGACTTTGTTGTTGTTGTTGTTGTAGTAGTTTTGAAAATTTTAATATTGGTTATAATAAAATTTTATTGGAAAAAATTCTATTATACATTCATTGAATGCAGAAAAAGTGTCCAATCGCCGGACCACATCTCATGCGCCTATTTACGATATTAGTAGCAAGCATTTTGGCGTATCTTTCTTCGTTGGATTACAAATGCTGGCTATCTATTTTGATATGGTCACATCAGCATTGATGTCACAACCTATTGCTGTGCAGCTAGTGATTGCAAAAGATTACACGAGTGGTTGCTGTTATTAAAAACGGGTGGCGTTATCAATGCCAGCTCATTTATATTATATTACATTTAGCTTAAAAATCAATGATATTTAGATAATATGATATAATCACAGCTTCAGCAATATACTAACAATTTTATTAACATAGCTTTCGAAGATTGTTAATTAATACAAATTAATCAAGCTCTCGTAATTTATAAATATTTTTTTCTCGACTCATTAAATAGTTTTTGTTCCTCTTACTAGTTAAATAAGAAAGCTTAAATATATATATATATATATATATAATCACATCAAAAATACTAGTATTATTAAGTAGTTAAAAATAATATATATTTTTCTATACATAAAATTTTAATATCAAGATTATTGAATAAAAGATTATCAAAATTGCATTCAAAGAATGATCCAAAATGAGATAAACATTAAAAAGCATATAGAGAGTCGACCACTTTACAATAAAAGCTTCCTCTATTTATAGAGTATTTAGTACAATAATAATATTATATATTTACCCTCATTTGAATGGAATTTATACTACAAATTTTAAGTATTTTATAAGTTACAATTTATCATCTGGTCATTTTATGATTCAGCCAGCTAAGCCTAGTTAGCTTGGCTCAACTGAGTTCGCTCGATCGACCAAGCTTGATTAGTAGGGCTCGGTCGACTAAACCAGCCCGGTTGGCCATTTTAAATCTCTGACAAGAAGTCTTTTGTCCTCCACTGAATGATTGAAAATATTTTATGGAAACTACTCTTCCATCAATTATTATCTAATACACGGCAGAGATCGAGGCTATAAAACTCCACAATCATTATCATAGTAAAAAAGCAAACGATGACATAATGCATTTATATTATTTTTCTTCTTTTATTTCTTTCAATGATTTAAACTAGATCTCTCATACTTCTCTCATCTAATTGACTAAAAAAAGTAACATATGCTAACCAAACAAACATATACAAACAATATACGATCCTAATGTTCATTATGACTTCACCATACAAAAGCTCATGAACTCGTCAACTCTTAATCATCTAATACGACTACAAATATATTTTTTCATGATGGACCTCAATGATCATCATTATGGAACCTACATAATCTCTTTGCTTGTTAAGTTGTTATCTACTGAAAAATAGAAGGGGGAACACCAAATAAGAACCACAAGTAGTAACTGGAGACCCTGCGCTGCACAGCAAAAGACTTAAGAGATATAATTTGAGAATTAAGAGCATAAAGAAATAAAAAGAAATAGATGAGTGGTTGGATAAGCCTTCTTCTGTGTCCACAAATATTTTAGTGGTGGAGTGAAGAGAATGACGTGGAAAGGGCAGCTGAAGTTTGATGGTCTTCCTTCTCTCTTACAAAAGGACAAGCCTTCTGTTGTGGATTGATGAGACATGCTTAATGCCTAAGTATTTTTGTGGCAACGATAACATGGATTGGCGATTGAATTAACTTGTAGTTATCTACAAGACACATCAGCAAAATCACTGGCAAAGAAAATGAAATTACTATGTAAGAAAATAGAGTTTATTTTGTGGTGATCTGCATGCCAGTTTATCAGGGTTTGAAGATGTACTTCACTTTTTCAAAAGTTCAAATAATCATATATATTAAATATGATATTAAAGATTTGGGTGGTATAAATGCAAAATGCAAAATTTTGGAATTAGATATGTAAATACATAAAAATTGGATGGTATACGTGTAAATTTTCCAATATTTATATATAGAGGGAGTGTATAGAGCCAATACTTAAAAGGTATAAAAGTCGTTTATCAGCCCAATCCCTCAACAACCATCATAAAAACCCACACCACAAAATAATAATAATAATAATAAATAAATAAATAAAAACAATCATAGATAACCAAAAAAATTATCATAATTTATGCTACATCACAGATGGTTCACTTTAAATTTTTCATTCCGAGACATTTAACATAAATTATGCAAATACGTGGTTATTTATGTGGTATATTTAATGCAGAAAGAAAATTAGCTATCTGGCAGCTTCTGGACAAAGTGCATGGTGTCCCATTGTGACTCCCAAGATTTGTGAAGAAGTGCGTGCCAGGTGCATGCAGCACACTTGCCGCTAGAATCAGCTGGGTTTGTAAATACTTGAAAGCATTTGGAGCCAAGTATGGCTAATTAAATTTTAGCCTTTGCTGACCACCCAATTCTTATGTATTATCATATCAACCTCATAAATTTCAATTTTTACTTGCAAGCCATCTTAAAATTTAGGTGTGTGATATGTGAACCTATAAGAAATTCGTGATAGGTATGTAAATATAAAATTTATGAGTGAGATATGTGAAGACATAAGAAATTTGTGTTGTGTATTTCGGGTTGAAAATTTAGGTGAGAAATGTAAATATATAAGAAATTTTGTTATGTATGTAAATAGGAATATTTAGGTGTGATATGTATCTAGGTGCACATTGCACCGAAATTTGTGTTGTGTAGGTATATAGGAAAATTTAGGTTGATTTTACTTTTGTGTGTTATATTACATACTAATCATGCTTATTAATTCTAAATTTTTTCCCAGTTGCAGATGGTAGGTTCTCAACTTCCCGAGAGACCCCGCGTTCAGGGGATTTTGGGGAACACGTATCGGAGGTTGAAGTAGGTTGTCATTTCCGCTGACAGGGTTTATATCCGATGAGTCAGACCCTTCGACTCTAGTATCTGAGGTGGCTGACACCGCTGACGGAGTCTATATTGAGCCGGATCAAGTCAGCTTTCTTTTTTATAGTATAGTAATTTCAATTTTTCGTTTAATTTTATAATGTACCTAATGGATTATTTTTCAGGATCTACCCATCCAGGTCGCCGGTGATGCGGATCACAGAGATCATCTGGAGCATATATGATCGATCATATCTCTCATGGAAGCAGATCTTGATTGCCACTCAGAATATGTAGGTATGATTTTTAAATTTGAAATAGAAAGTTAATTTCTACCTTTTTATATGCTAATCAAGCTTACATACTTTCTGATTTGTAGATGTTGATTTACTGGTTGTTGGAACATCACCAGTAGATCCAACATATTTTTGAGTTTCATGCCAGACATAGACTTGGAGATATGTTCACGATGGCACATAAGAAGAGGCAGAGACCCTCATGGGTCGGCGAGGAAGATTGGGCTGAGTTAAACCGAGCATGGGCTTCTCTAGAGTGCCAGAGGAAGAGACAGACAAATCAGCATAACCAAATGACAGAGGGAGCCACAGGGACCGCACTCTACATTAGATGTTCGATCCCCCACTCTCTGCACTATCGGAGGCTAGTAAGATTATGTCAAAATTCAAAAGCTTGTAGATTTATGTAATTATGTGACTCATATATTTATTAGATCATGTCTACTGACCAAGAAACTTGACAGAGAGTCATCCATCGCAGAGTTAAGCGTTCTTAGTCATCGGAGTGCGAGCACACAATAGTGTGTATCCGACCACTCTCGCACGTGTGAATGTAAGTTTAAAAATTTTAATTCTATTAATATGTTAATTAATTTTAAAATGCCAAATAATATTTGATTTATGTTATACAGGAGGAGTACTAGCAGCTATGGGAGAGAAAGAGGAAGATGGCTAGCCGGACCTCACCATCCATCGGTAGTGGTAGCTACTCTTCCACTGCACAGTCCGACTATAGCCAAACCTCTTTGTCCGTCCGCCAACCAAACCTCACCTCCTATTGAGTTAAATTGTAAACTTTAAGTTGAGATAGTAGTATATGTCTTCTGGAGAATCTCCCTCCACCTCTGTCGAATGATCCTTCACTTAAAGTTCTTGATGGGAATACCATATGATGTGTATCAACCATATTGTCTACTCGAGTATCAGATCTACTATTGGACGCTTTCTGAGGACACTATGTCATCTTATTATCAGGCTGACCACACTTAAAACATCACTCAGAAAATAAACAACATTGAGTTTGATGTCTTCTTCCACATGAAGTACAAACTGGAGCAATACTCTCTGAGATAGATGAACCCTAGTTCCCAGAAGTTGTAGAACCTCTCCAAGAGTCATACGACCAAAAGTTGACTCTTCTTCCCACTAACACTACTTCTAAAAGACTCCTCTCCATTTTTTTTTGTTCACATCCATATGTTGTTGAGTAGACATCAAATCATTTGTTATCAATCTTGCCCTATCCACTAACTTGGAGAAATTTTTTATCCTAAATGGAATAAGTGGGCGCCTTAAATGATCTTTGAGTCTTCTTAAATATCTATAGAACTTCTTCTCTGGGATTTTAACTAACTTTGGAGCATATCTTGCTAATGCAGTAAACACAATCCCATACTACATTACTATTTTATTGCTTTGTACCAATCTCAAAAATATATTCATGCATCTGTTGTATGGTTGATAGAGGTACAAAATAATCTCTAAATGTATCAATAAGTTGCTCTCAAGTAATCTCAACATTCAACATGCCTTGAAACTTCTCCATTTTTTGGCCTAGCCACCAACGCTCAGCTTCACCATCAAGTAAAAACAGTGCAAGGGGCACCTTACAATTCTTTGGACACTTCATGCTATCAAAGCATTTCTCTAGTCTCAGTAGGAAATCCTCAACTATTTGAGACTCCACTGCTTCCTTGAAATGAGGCAGATTCAATCTCAAGAATAATTGCAAATGTCTATCTTCCCCCGTTACTCTCGAAGTAAACATTCAGCTCAGAGCATCGCCTATCAATTGAGCCACCAAACTAGCAAATTGAGTCAGAGAATCTAGCATAAGAGCTCCCACTATACTCTGTATTACCCCAACCTGATTAGAACTATGTCCATTTGTCACATCTTGATCTTGGGATTCATATTTTCCTAATACTACATGTGACATGCACATACAATAACTTAAGATAATATACATAAAAGAAAGGGTAGAAAAGAAAATTAATCTTAAACTATCCAAAACTGTCACTCTCATATACTAATGTATCATATGGCCTTGGTTAAATAAATTCATTCAAATCCATTACCCTGATATAAAAAATTTTGTCACAACCCAACTCGATGTAATTTGTCATATTGAAGCGTGTCATATTGTGTCAATGTTATAACAGATAAATTATTACCCGAGTTATATTTGGAATGAAACATATTTACTTTTTTTTCTTCAAGTTCTATACACATAGCTACTAATAAAATATTATAAAAATATTCAAAATTCAATATATACATCAATTATGGTTTAATCTCTTTATTATAAAAAAAACTAAACATCACCATGGCTGTCAAGAATAAAGATCTTAGATATAGACATACAAAAAATCTGGCTCTCATAAGTGATGCAAAAGCTTCTTTTCAACACGAGCCTTACCCTTCCCCGAAACAAAAAAATGTGAGTGAGTAAGCAGCCATAGCTCTGTAGGCAACTCAAAATCTAATGTAGTTTTCAATATTTAAAAACATAAATATGTATTCAATTTAAATAAATCTAACATGCCAAAATATTACGTATAGTATCTATCATAGTGACAATACAATAAATTATAATTGCAGTAGGTATATGCTAAATAACAGTATAAGCAACATGATATCGTAAGTGTAGGAAAATAATAAGAAAATAAAATCCAATTCTCTATTTAAATTATTTTAATATTTTTCCTCTGCCTTCTTATACTTCCACTTCTACTTATACCACAACTTGTTCACGTATGTTCAGGCATATTAAACATACAAAAGAATAATTATGTAGCTGCAAAAGCCATTATAACTCTACTTGATTGCACATAACATACAACTACTAAATCACAACCACATAGAACCCCCCCCCCCCCCACCCCACACCCCGCCCTCGACAAAATAATTAAATGCTAACAATTTTGAATATCAATATCATAATATGCTATAGAATATGATACATATCAGTATGCTCAAGTAATAATAAAATTTTCAAGGAAAATAAATCTTCACATATCGCCAAGCAAAATTTGCAAAACCAATTTTATAGAATGCTCAAGCACTCACAGGCCAACACAACGTCTTAAATGAAACCTCAAAAGAAGTGGGTGCAAAGACACCCAATGTGGGCACTTGAGCTCCCATAGCTGCATTTAGCACTTCCTTAGGAGGTGTCAATATGATGCTTGGGCGCTTAGATGCTCATTTTGGGTGCTTGAGCGCCAAAGCCCTCTAAGGAGGGCTTGCCTTCTACCATAGGCTCTTCCAAGTGCATGCAGCTTCATGTGTGTGGTTTTTCGGATCCCTGGATAGCTTGAAACCATCCGAGAGTGAAAATGGGTTCTTTAAATTGATATGAACACTAGGGGTGCGCCGTATCGGACAAAAATCATTGTCCGGGGCAAAGTACGACCCGAACGGTCCAAAAAGCAATTTTGCACCCGTATGTCCATAGAAGAGATTTTACTAAACATGAAGATATGGAAAACCATGTGTCATTAAAAATATGACCCTATAACTCAAAAATGAACATTCAAGAGGTTTCAACTTGGGGATTTTAGTGCCGAGAGGATTCATGAGAGTTTGACGACTCCCCTTGGACACCAGAGGTTCCAAATAGGCGGGTTATGGCCTCTAAACAACAAGATAGTCATTAAACATATCCCATGTCACAATTAACATCGCCCCACGATGATTTCTCTTGGGTAGGGCTAAATTGAGATGAACCCTATTTTTGTGCTTGAGGTGCGTACTAGATGGTCCAGACGAATTTCCTTGACTACGGGAAGCTGCAAACAGTCCTGTAGCACTCAAGCGGATATTCACATATATAACAACCAAAAGTGATGCCAACAACCATAGAGGTAGTGACCCGAAAGGTGGCTATCTCGTGGAGGTCGTGGAGGCATTGTGGGCGAGTGTGCCACGGGGGGCATTGACTCAAGAAAATGATGATTCTCACTTGAGAGAATCATCCAAGTGGGGTGAGTGTATGAATGAACACTCAAAATGCAACTCAAGCATGTGATAATGATCATGCAAGTAATACTAATGCACAAGTAAAATATATACCATGCAAGTGAATTTGGTTATTTGACCAACTGGGTCAACCACGTTGGAAAAAAGAGGTAATGTCGTTCCTAAGTTTGGCCATTTTTTAGGGTGAATAGTAATTTACTAAGAATTTCTAGGTCAGGTCATGCCATGTCCTAAATGATGCAAGAGCTAAGGAATTCAATATTTTTGCTTTATCTCTTAAGGAGAAAAGGAAAGCCTTAGTCTCACTGCATCGTTGGAGACATCGTTATAGCGGAATGTGGTGTAAAGTTCTAAAAAGCTCGCTAAATGGAAATTTGGAAGGTGTTCCTCCAAGATTATTCTGCACCATTTGGATGATAGCAGACTTCAGTTTGAAGTTATTGATTTTTACAGTAGGGGTGTAGATATTAAGATGGATTTCATTTACCATAGGATTGATATAGTCTCTTAAAGGTCATAACATGTTCTGAGTATGAATTTCAGAATTGTTAAGGTATATCAACAATCTCTCCTAAAGTTTGTTGCAGCCTTTTAATTTTTCTAATTTTTATAATAGTTCTCTCTAACTCAACATTGTAGGGTACAAGTCTTGAAGGTCCTGAACTACGCATACACCAACTAGATTCAACTAGCAAATAACCCCTAAACTAAAGAGAATAACAAACAATTCAAATTAAAGCAACAAAAGCAACATAAACTACTAAATCAAGAACAAGTAAACGAGTATTATGTAGGAATTAAAAGTAAGAAACAATGCAGTCACACATTCAAACAAATTTAAAATTGTATGTTTTTGGATTTTGCAAGTAAAGATAGAAAATAAAGGAACAAAAAATAATGAACACTACAATTTTCAAGTATAAGGCCTAAAATTTCAACTAGAATTTCTTGAATCAATTCCGTCTTAG